AGAAGGGTGAAGAGAGGGATGCGGATGAAGATGGGACAGGGCATGGGGCCGAGAGTGACACACAGCAAGGCCAGCAGCAGCAGCAGCAGCAGCGGCAGGTGGAGGAAGGGCCGGAGGGTGCAGAAGAAGCAGTGGAAGAACAGGAGCGAAAGGAGAGGCAGTGGGAGGAGCAGGCCAGGGTGGTAGCAGAGGAGTTGGAAGAGGTACTGAGGAGGAGTGAGCGGTGGGAGGCGCTGAGCCTGGTGCTCAACACTCTGGACGAATTCGGAGTGCATCTGTCAGAAGCTGTGTGGGACCCACAGGTGTGTTTCATCATGGCACAGCATGCTCGTATGCACTGCATGCATGCCTCTCTGCTTGCCTCTGATGTCCAGAGTGCTGAGAACGAGGCTCGCGTTCTTATCACATGTCATCCCAGGCTGGATGGTTCTGTCCTTCTCTGCCTCATGTTTCTCTCGCTTGGCTTGCTTCTCCTATTTCGAGACACCCTAGATCCTGGTTTGAGACGTCTCTAAACTCGTTTGTGTCTCCCTCAGGCCAATCTGTATCTCACACCTCCTGCCACCCATGTTGCACTCTGCAGATGTCCTTCCTGCTCTCCTCCACTGCAGTTTCATCAACCCCTTCGCATCATTCCAGCACCGGTACCAGCACCAGCACTGGCACTGCTGCTGCTGCTGCGCCTGCTACTGCAGTGGATGCATTATCTCCTCCTCTGTCGTCCTGGGGGACTGCTGTGCCCGATGTGGACCTACCCTTTATCTGTATCGCATGGACTAGAGGCTTCTCACACAACAACCCTCAAGGCACGTCCCCTTCTCATTCATTCTTCTTCATCGCTGTGGGTCTTGCCCTCCGCCCCGCCTCCTTCCTCCTATCGTTACGCCTTCTCCCAGCCTGGTGCTTGTTTCTGCGGATGTTGTAGCTTCGTTTTCAGCTTCCTCCCTCCCTCCCTTTTCCCCCCTTGAAACGCCTCCTCTAGCACATATATCATGCGCACTCCTGTATGTAAGCATGATGTATGTTACCTCATACATACATAAACTTTCCTATGATGTAAACTTCAGCTTAGAGCACGCGATGTCTCGTGCCATTTCACGTGTTTGTAGCATCTAGGTTCGTGCCACTTATCTTTGCCTGCCTCTTTGCTCCCTCTTCGTCAATCCTTTCGTTTCACATACCTTCCTCTTTTCCTTCTTTTTCCACACCCCACCTCCCCTCTGCCAGTTCGCCGGCTGGTCATGGCGTCTTTCCTCCGCTGCTTTGGATGCGATGTCCACTCGTCTCCTGCTGCATCCAAGCACACGGCTCAGCAAGGCGCAGAGGCAGAGGCAGGGGCAGAGGCAGACTTGGACGCGCTTCTGCCCATTGAAACAGCAGAAATTGGAAGAGGAATCACCAAAGGAGATGGAGGGAAGCAGCAGCAGGAGCAGCAGCAGTGGGATGTGGGGCGGTTACCACTGACATTCCTGCTGGATGTCTTCCTGCCTGCTCTCGATAACCCCTCTTGCCATCCAGATTTCGGTACACCATCCATCTTCATCCTCGCGTTGTCTGCTTCTCCAATCCCTCTTCCACCTTACCCTCCCACCAGCTGTCGTCCACTTAGGATTCTCACCAGAAAAAACAGACTCCCCCCTCCTCTTCCCCAAAAAACCTCGCAAATGTTTCTGCTTTCTGCAGAGAGTTACCTTTTCCAGCCAGCCATCCCGTCTCCCTCTCTCTCTTTCCTTTTTCAGTAAAAAGGGGTTTCTTCCTTGTGTCGCTGTTTCCACCTCTCCCTGCAGGCATCAGGGATCGATACTCGTCCACAGTTGCTGAAGCAGCCGCATGCGTCTTTGCCCAACTCTCGGCCTCTCTCCCAGCCCGGTATGCTGCTGCATGGTACCCCTGCCCCATGCATCTCTGCCAGGTGAATTCTAAGTTAGACTCAAATGTAACTTTTGGCCCCTCTCCCAGCTCGGTAAGCTGCTGCATGGCACCTCTGCTGCATGGTACCTCTGCTGCATGGTACCTCTGCTGCATGGTACCTCTGCTGCATGGTACCTCTGCTGCATGGTACCTCTGCTGCATGGTACCTCTGCTGCATGGTACCCCTGCTGCATGGTACCTCTGCTGCATGGTACCTCTGCTGCATGGTACCTCTGCTGCATGCGTCTTTTGCCCACCTCTCTGCAGCTGCTGCCATTGCCATTGCCATTTGCATTTCAGAGGTCGTCCTCTTCCCGTTCTTCTTCTCTCCACCCGAATCACCAGCCTTGTTGTTGCCCAAATGAAATCGCAGCTCGCATCACCCCCCCACCTCCGTCCCTCTTCCCAACCCCCCCACTCCTCACCCCCTGTACTCCCAATCAGAGCTCGTCCGCTCCTCCTGCAGCGCCTGCTGTCCAGCATGATTGGCATCATGCCCGGACGCATAGGCCACATGACATGCGCCATGTGTATCCATGCTGCCGCTGCGCCCTCTAGCTTCCTCACTACCAGACACATGGTACAAGGCACTGCAGAGACAGGAGAAGGGGGCGGGGGGGTGAAGGGGAAGGAGGGGACGGTTGGGGAGGAGGCGTTATCACAGGACAAATTGGGTTACTTGGAAGGTTTGGTGGGGTGTTTGGAGAAGGGGAGGACGGGCGAGGGGACAGAGCTGGAGGTGCAGTTGGCGCTGCTGTTCTGTCAAGTGCTGGAGATGGCTCGGCGGCACTTCAACCCTGCGTTCCGGCTGAAAGGTAACTTGTGAGGTCCCTCAAATGCAGGATGTGCAATTGGCGCTGCTGTTCTGTCAAGTCTTGGAGATGGCACGGCGACACTTGAATCCTGCATTTCGGCTCAAAGGTAGAAAGAGGAGTGGAGATGCTTTTTGAGTTGCTCAATAGAAGTGTGAATGATATGCCCATTCCCACTCCTCTTTTCAGCTGGTTTCTGCCCGTTTCGTCGGTGCCCTCTTTCTGGATTTGCCTTTTTGTGAGCCTTCTTCTTCTTCATATTTTTCAAGTTTCTGGTTCCAGTTCTCTCCTTTTGCCATACACAATTTGATCACCATGTCATACCATGGTGAACAACAATACATGGTATTGTTGTCGTACCATGTATTGTTGTTCGGTTGGTTCAACATCCTTCTCCGTTATCACCCGCCCCTCCTCCCCCCCTCCCCTGCGCTTTGCGCCTGCAACAACAGTATCCACGCACGTGTTTGCAGCAGTGACAGCATCGGTATCAGCCTCGCACCTCTCCACGCCTCTCCTCCTCCGCCTCCTCTGCATCCTGCCCCACCAAGGCTTGCTCTCCACAGGTACACACCTTCTGCTCTTCCTACACTGCCCCTCTTCGTCATCCTATTGGTTCTTTCCGTTTTCGCGTGTGCCTTTATGCTTGTTGCGTGCTTTCACGGTTGTTACATAGTGCATTCTGCACTCTCCTCTTCTTTCCTGTACGTATTTGCACATTTTGCAGTCTCCTTGCTCTAATCTACACATCAATCACAACGCTTGCTGTCCCGTCAGACCTTGCTGTAGTACAAATCGGTCCACCTCTCTTTCCCCCACTCCCTCCTCTCATCCACTTGTTCTCTTTCCGTTGGTTCCATTGGGCCCCTTGAATCATGCAGCATCTGTGCGATCAACCATTGTGAGCTGGCTGCACACACCGCAACCATCCACCCACGTGCACAGCACCCACCCGACACAAACCGGCACTGCCAGTATCACCACTGCTAGCGATGTTACCAGCGCCACCACCACCAGCAGTGTTCCCACCAGTACCAGTAGTGCTGCCTCTTCTGGAAGCCCCTCTTTCAACGGACTGTCTGAACCTTTGCTGACGGAACCGCAGCCAAATTCCAGCTGCCACCTGGCACAGCGGCTAATCACTGCACTGCGCTTCTTTGTCCTGGGGAAGACTGCTGGTGAGGAGGAAAAGGAGGAAGCGCTGCTGCTGCTGCTGCAGTCCCAAGAAGAGCTGGGCGGGACAGAAACAGAGGACTATGGCGGGAGGAAAGGGGAGGAAAGGAGAGGTGGGCAAGGGGAGGAGGTGGAGGATGAGAGGTTGGTGGAGTTGATATCTGACAGTGATCTGGCGTCGTGGCATGCTGCCTCTGCTCGCTGCTGTCTCGTGCTGCTAGCCGCCATGCCGACGCCCCACGTGCTTGCAGCAGCAGGGAAGGTAAGTTGAAAGCTTATGCTTTTTGAGAATTCTCAAAAACATAAGTTGAGAGCTGCTCTGCGCGCCTTCTGTGTGCGTCTCAAATGTTTGTGTGCTGATTAAGACGGTGTCACGTCGCTGGGCTGTGCTATACGCGCGTGTGCTGAACTTTCAGACGTCTCAAAAGTGTGTGTGCTGATTCACAATAGTGTGTGCCAATTAAAGCTGTGGCTGCAGTAACACTTTCTCTCTCATTTGGTCTCGCTGCTGCCGTTGCTCCTCACCCAACCTTCCTGCTCTCCTCCCCTTTGTGCGTCTCCTCTGTTCTTCACCTTGCAGGATCTGCAGGGGCTCTTTTCAGATCTCCTGGCCACTCACATGCCGCCAGGTGGCAGGCAGAGGCTGCTTGTTCTCCTTCAGGCGCTGCTGGAGCAGTATGACGTGGCAGAACGCTATTGGAAGGGCTGTGTGAAAGCTGCTGACAATAGCACCGCCAGCAGTATCAACAGCAGCAGCAGCAGCAGCAGCAGCAGCGGCAGTGACTTGAGCAGTAGTGCATGTGCAAGGCAGATGATGGTGGCTTCAAGAAGCGCCTTGCTGGAGCTTCTTTCACTGGTCATGGTACGAAGGCCTCCATTTTTGTTTTCTATTTGTCATTTGTTATTTTTCAGGAACTTGTCTTTGTGTCCATCTGCAGTCTTGAGAGCAGATTCTAGGCTCGTGTTCAGTTTGCTCCTTACTGTTTAGATGATTTGTGCGCTTGGGTTGCAATGCAATCGCCGATGCAACAAACTCCTACACCAGTCGTTTTTATTCCCTTTCCTGATGTCATTCTCTCTCTCTGTTTCCCCCTCTTTTCACTCTACCCGTTACTTCCTGGTCGTATGGTTTCGACCCTTGGGTGCATGCATGGACGGCGAACCTGCAGCCATCTCTCACTGCTTTGGCCTCCCAAGATCAGTTCCTCTTCTCCACCCCGGATCAATTAGCCTTGTTAGCCACCTCCTCAGCACCTCTACCAGCCGCAGTGCGGGGGAAGCTCGGAGGCCCCACTCTGCGCCGCCTGCCTCTCACCACCGGCGCTGCTGTGCTGCGAGCGGTCAGTGCTGCTAATACCTGCTTCTAATTCTGCTTCTGCTCCTGCCGAACTTTCTATCAATACAGGCCTGTTCCTCCTCCGCCCTCTGCCCCAGATGCCTTCCTTCCTATCCTCTCATCTTCCTCAGCTTCCTTGTCACACGCAAGATTCCTTCTTCTGCTTCCAGCCAAGCTCGAAACATCTCCTTTTCTGCTTCCGCGTGTGAAAGGCAGTGGCACCATGACTGCAATCATTGCAATATCATCTCAAAAACCAGGCCTTCCATGCCCCATGTCACCACCTCACATCGCATCCACAGGTTAATCTGGTGCGCTGCTTTGCGGCGGCTGCTAGATGGGCACACATGCACAAGCAAGCGGACATGAGCCTCATGGGTGCAAGAGAAGAGAATGGAGCAGGCGTGAGGCTTCATCCGAGTGACCTGTCGTGGCTTGCGGGAGTGGAGGGGAGCATTCGTGCGTGGGTGGGGGGTTGTGTCGGGAGCGCTCTGGAGCTGTGTCACAAGAGCAAGTGGCCGCATACTGAGGTGAGTCTGTAGGTACACCGAGGGACTACGAGTTACTTTGTGTTATGGGGATTCTGGGCTTTGCGTTGTCATGGGTGTGCGTTTGCAGTTTACTCTGTGCCACGTGCTGTGTTCCTTGTGCCGTGTGCCGTGCTCCATGCGTCATTCGCCATGTGCGACGTGCCCACCCACAACTCATGTGTTGACGATTGTAAGCCCGCTGCTGCCCTGTTTTCTTTTCTTCCGCCCATCTACTGCATCGTCCTACAACATCCATTGCCCACTCATGTCAGCTCCATCATTGAGGTCGTTTTTGAGGCGCCTCAAAAGGTGGTTTTTGAGGCGCCTCAAAAACAATCTACTGCATCGTCCCACAACATCCATTGCCCACTCATGTCACCACCATCATCATCCCACCACCACCATCTACCGCACAACACCACCAGGTCGAGGCAGAGCTACTGCTGGGCTGTCTGGAGCTGCTGCAACCAGTGTGCCATTTACTTGCCGTGGGCGCCATTGCAGCACTGCCATCACAGCAGCAGCAACAGCAGCCGCTGAAGGAAAGCGAGGAGGGGACGGAAGGAGAAGGAGGAGGGGCAGGAGGCGAGGGGAAAAGAGTGGCAGGACGGGAGAGTGGAGCAGCAGGAGGGGCGGGAGGGGCAGGGAGGTCAGGGGTGCTGGGGTTGTTAGAGGCGGTGGTGGTGGTGGCAGGGGCAGCGGGCAGGAGTGGCGGGGGAGTGGCGCGCAGCAGAATGGCGCGGCTGCTGGAGGTGAAGTGGGACTGTGTGGACGGACTCCTGTGCGCTGCACTGCTGGTCCATGCTGCTGGCAACGGCTCGTCGCCAGCAGGGGTGGTGGCTGTGGAGGGTGGGGAGGAGAGGGAGAGGGAGAGGGAGAGGATGGTTGCGGTACAGCAGGCACTGCTTGAAGATGCTGCGGATAGGTGGGTGGCCTTGATGCTGCCTGCTTGGTAATAAGTTCTGGAACTTCGTGCTGGAGATTCGTGCCGGAGTCAGCTGCTGATAGCTGCCGCATGCCTGCCAGGTGCACTGGCAGCACTTGACAAAACACGACCCATGTGGAGTGCCAAACGGCATCTTCCATTTGCACTTTACGCTTCTGGCTTCTCACGTCACTATTCAATTGTTCGTGGCTCATGTGTCAAAGTGCCAGCCTGCTTTCTTTCCTTTTGCTGTGCTAACATTTCTTTCATCCAACATTCCCCTCTTTTCCTCCTGAACCTTCTACGGGAATAATTTTCTATGTGCCCAAAAGAAAGAACCAGCATCCCCCCCGCTTCCATCGTCTGCAGAGATTAGAGACGTTTTGACGAGCTACTTTACCACCAACCCCAACCCCCCCCATTCCACTCAATTCTTCTCTCCCTCACCCTTCCACTCCACCATGCCATCCACGGCATGCAGCCTTGAGGGTCTGGAGGAGCAGCAGTTCCTGCCACTCTTCCGCGCCCTCCGCTCCCTCCTCTCCCTGCGCGTGCTCGATACTTTCCAATCTGACCCCCAACGAGTCGAGGTGAGTGGGAGGAGTTCCATTCCGGTACTGTGCGGTGCTGCTGGGAGGCATATTGCTGGTTGGTTAAGCAAGCCACCGCCCAGGTTGCAGGGGCGAGCGACCAGGCTACCTAAAATTCTGCCATGTAGGATGTCTTCTGTCTCTCACCACCTCGTTTTTACTTCTCCCATGCCTTCCCCTCTGTTCCCTTCCCCTCTCCTCCCTTCCCTTCCCTTCTCTCTCCTTCCCTTCTGCTCTCCCCAGCTCCTCTCCCCACTCCTCTCCACTCATCATCCCCTCTCCCCTCCTCTCCTCTCCTCTCCCCGCATCCCCCATCCTCCCCGCTTCCCTGCCCCACACCAACAGGTCACATGGCGGCTAGTAACATCAGCATGGAGGGCAGTGGAGGATGGGCAGAAGCGCAGGGTGGCGCCAGTAGCAGCCTTCCTCTCTGCCATCTTCCACCCGGCCCTCTTCTCCCTGCCGTGCATGCACTCTTTCGACCCACAACCTGCTGAGGGAGGTGGTAATGCGGATGCTTCCAGAGATGATGGTAGTGGCGGTGGTAATGGTGGTGGAGGGGCGGAGGGGGTGGAAGGCCTTGCTTCTTCTGGCATTGAGCCTCCTCTGCAGTGGGTACGTTTCCCTGCTCTTTATTCCTGAGTGAGTCCTCTTGCTCGTGTGGGCGCACAAGGCTTCTTGAGGGGAGTTCTCTCCGCATTTTTTCAGCATGTTTCCTCTTTCGGGTGCTTCAAGAATCGTCACTATTTGCTAGGACCCTTTTCCTGTCCTCGTCATTACACTGTTATTCTCCCCTTCTCCTCCCCCTCCCGTTTTCCCCTTCTCCCCTTTTCCCCTTCTCCCCGTTCCCATTCTCCCCGTCTCCCTCGCTTCCCTTCTCCTCCTCTGCCCCTCCTCCCTCCCCCACCTCACCCCATCAGATGGTAGAGCGCCTCATGACCTTGGCTGAGCGCAGCCCGCGCACCATGCGCCTCTTCTCCATGCACTTCACCTCGCTGCTCACCGCCTTCCCCAGCACTGCCTCCTTCTACCTCCCCACTCTCAAGGCACTCACTCTGCACGGCGCTGGTGCGTAGTAAATGGCTTTGAGGCACCGCACCTTACAAGTTGCTCTCTCTCTGCACGGTGCTGGTATGTAGTGCATGGCTGATGATGGTGGTGGCCTTGTTTGCATCTCAGCATGTGCTGCTGGTTGGTGGTGTGGATGAGATGAGAGGGCGTTTCTAAGGTGACAGAGATTGCGTTGGAACAGGAGGCAGCACATCAGTTGTTTGAGGCGCCTTAAAAGCGCACACAAGGAGCTAGATAGAGAGGCTTTCAGGCGGTACAACAGAGAGAGGAGCAGCAGGGCAACCTCTTTCCTGGCTCGTCTTTTCAAGCAGCCTGCCCCTAATCCGTTTCGAGTCGGCTGTAAACTCTTTTGAGACGTTTCGAAGCAGAATTGCCATCTCATTCCTGCCTCTTCTATCCAACAGTTCCACAGTCTTGTGTCTGCGCCTGTTGCTTGCTTCCTCCCCACTTACAGATGCGGTGGATGAGGAGGAGGAGGTAGGCGGGGAGGTGGCGGAGAGTGCAGAGAGTGCAGAAGCCTTGCCTTTGAGGCGCCTCAAAAGATGTCTGCACCTGCTGCTTGCTGCCTTCCCTCCCTGTGTGTGTCTGCACGTGCTGCTTGCTTCCTCCCTATCCTTATCACCCACAGACGCAGTAGATGAGGAGTTAGACGGGGAGGTGGCGGAGAGTGCAGTAGCATCACTCGAGTACTGCCATTTGGCTAGGAGCCATGACGCGGAGCTTGCACATGTGAGTTCTGACGCGCCTCCTCAATAGCATGATGCCACCTCTGAGGTGGCTCAAAGCATGAGTACTGCCACTTGGCCAGGAGCCATGACGCGGAGCTTGCACATGTGAGGGGTGCTGTTTTAGGCAAGCACATTGTGCTATGCTTGATTGGCTTTTGAGTCGACTCAAAAGTCAGTTTAGGCAAGCACATTGTGCTATGCTTGATTGGCTTTTGAGTCGACTCAAAAGTCAGTTTAGGCAAGCACATTGTGCTATGCTTGATTGGCTTTTGAGTCGACTCAAAAGTCAGTTTAGGCAAGCACATTGTGCTATGCTTGATTGGCTTTTGAGTCGACTCAAAAGTCAGTTTAGGCAAGCACATTGTGCTATGCTTGATTGGCTTTTGAGTCGACTCAAAAGTCAGTTTAGGCAAGCACATTGTGCTATGCTTGATTGGCTTTTGAGTCGACTCAAAAGTCAGTTTAGGCAAGCACATTGTGCTATGCTTGATTGGCTTTTGAGTCGACTCAAAAGTCAGTTTAGGCAAGCACATTGTGCTATGCTTGATTGGCTTTTGAGTCGACTCAAAAGTCAGTTTAGGCAAGCACATTGTGCTATGCTTGATTGGCTTTTGAGTCGACTCAAAAGTCAGTTTAGGCAAGCACATTGTGCTATGCTTGATTGGCTTTTGAGTCGACTCAAAAGTCAGTTTAGGCAAGCACATTGTGCTATGCTTGATTGGCTTTTGAGTCGACTCAAAAGTCAGTTTAGGCAAGCACATTGTGCTATGCTTGATTGGCTTTTGAGTCGACTCAAAAGTCAGTTTAGGCAAGCACATTGTGCTATGCTTGATTGGCTTTTGAGTCGACTCAAAAGTCAGTTTAGGCAAGCACATTGTGCTATGCTTGATTGGCTTTTGAGTCGACTCAAAAGTCAGTTTAGGCAAGCACATTGTGCTATGCTTGATTGGCTTTTGAGTCGACTCAAAAGTCAGTTTAGGCAAGCACATTGTGCTATGCTTGATTGGCTTTTGAGTCGACTCAAAAGTCAGTTTAGGCAAGCACATTGTGCTATGCTTGATTGGCTTTTGAGTCGACTCAAAAGTCAGTTTAGGCAAGCACATTGTGCTATGCTTGATTGGCTTTTGAGTCGACTCAAAAGTCAGTTTAGGCAAGCACATTGTGCTATGCTTGATTGGCTTTTGAGTCGACTCAAAAGTCAGTTTAGGCAAGCACATTGTGCTATGCTTGATTGGCTTTTGAGTCGACTCAAAAGTCAGTTTAGGCAAGCACATTGTGCTATGCTTGATTGGCTTTTGAGTCGACTCAAAAGTCAGTTTAGGCAAGCACATTGTGCTATGCTTGATTGGCTTTTGAGTCGACTCAAAAGTCAGTTTAGGCAAGCACATTGTGCTATGCTTGATTGGCTTTTGAGTCGACTCAAAAGTCAGTTTAGGCAAGCACATTGTGCTATGCTTGATTGGCTTTTGAGTCGACTCAAAAGTCAGTTTAGGCAAGCACATTGTGCTATGCTTGATTGGCTTTTGAGTCGACTCAAAAGTCAGTTTAGGCAAGCACATTGTGCTATGCTTGATTGGCTTTTGAGTCGACTCAAAAGTCAGTTTAGGCAAGCACATTGTGCTATGCTTGATTGGCTTTTGAGTCGACTCAAAAGTCAGTTTAGGCAAGCACATTGTGCTATGCTTGATTGGCTTTTGAGTCGACTCAAAAGTCAGTTTAGGCAAGCACATTGTGCTATGCTTGATTGGCTTTTGAGTCGACTCAAAAGTCAGTTTAGGCAAGCACATTGTGCTATGCTTGATTGGCTTTTGAGTCGACTCAAAAGTCAGTTTAGGCAAGCACATTGTGCTATGCTTGATTGGCTTTTGAGTCGACTCAAAAGTCAGTTTAGGCAAGCACATTGTGCTATGCTTGATTGGCTTTTGAGTCGACTCAAAAGTCAGTTTAGGCAAGCACATTGTGCTATGCTTGATTGGCTTTTGAGTCGACTCAAAAGTCAGTTTAGGCAAGCACATTGTGCTATGCTTGATTGGCTTTTGAGTCGACTCAAAAGTCAGTTTAGGCAAGCACATTGTGCTATGCTTGATTGGCTTTTGAGTCGACTCAAAAGTCAGTTTAGGCAAGCACATTGTGCTATGCTTGATTGGCTTTTGAGTCGACTCAAAAGTCAGTTTAGGCAAGCACATTGTGCTATGCTTGATTGGCTTTTGAGTCGACTCAAAAGTCAGTTTAGGCAAGCACATTGTGCTATGCTTGATTGGCTTTTGAGTCGACTCAAAAGTCAGTTTAGGCAAGCACATTGTGCTATGCTTGATTGGCTTTTGAGTCGACTCAAAAGTCAGTTTAGGCAAGCACATTGTGCTATGCTTGATTGGCTTTTGAGTCGACTCAAAAGTCAGTTTAGGCAAGCACATTGTGCTATGCTTGATTGGCTTTTGAGTCGACTCAAAAGTCAGTTTAGGCAAGCACATTGTGCTATGCTTGATTGGCTTTTGAGTCGACTCAAAAGTCAGTTTAGGCAAGCACATTGTGCTATGCTTGATTGGCTTTTGAGTCGACTCAAAAGTCAGTTTAGGCAAGCACATTGTGCTATGCTTGATTGGCTTTTGAGTCGACTCAAAAGTCAGTTTAGGCAAGCACATTGTGCTATGCTTGATTGGCTTTTGAGTCGACTCAAAAGTCAGTTTAGGCAAGCACATTGTGCTATGCTTGATTGGCTTTTGAGTCGACTCAAAAGTCAGTTTAGGCAAGCACATTGTGCTATGCTTGATTGGCTTTTGAGTCGACTCAAAAGTCAGTTTAGGCAAGCACATTGTGCTATGCTTGATTGGCTTTTGAGTCGACTCAAAAGTCAGTTTAGGCAAGCACATTGTGCTATGCTTGATTGGCGGCGTTTCCTTGCCTGAAAGCATTGGATGGAGGAATTGTAACCAGCATTATGTGTGCGTGGGCACATGTTTGCTTGCGTGCCTCTCTGTCTGTCTACGCACGTGCGTCTGGCTGCATGCGATGCGTGTGCACATCTGTGCATGCGTGCATCTGTGCATGCGTGTTACATGCTGCTCAACTCTGCCATTCGCCGTTTGCCATGAATCCACCCCTTTTTCTTCCCCACTTCCTTCTCTTCCCCCCCCCCCCCCCCCCCTTGGCCTCACCTCAGGTGTTCACCAACTCAGAGATGTTTGCTCGTGTGTGTGTCGCTATCATGGCTCACCACTTCGCATCACTTTACCTCCCACCTGTTGCCACTTCTGCTGCTTCTGCCACTCCACCTGCTCCTGCCACTCCACCTGCTCCTGCCACTTTTGCTCCTGCCACATCTTCTGACAAGCATCACGCCATCCGCAGCTGTCAGCAGCTTCTCATGCTTCTCCTCGAATCAGCGGTACGTTCCCCCTCAACAAACCCCTCTCACACCCCCAAACCCCTCTGCCTTGTCTTTTCTCTTCTCGTCGGGTCCCAGCTTGTCGTATAAACGTGCTTTTCTAGACTCGTTTTAGGTACTCGAAAATAACAAGTTTCGAGTTCTGATTTTGGTAAAAAAACTCGTGAAAACGAGTCGATTTTTACTCGCGAGTTTAAAAAAACTCGTGAAAAACTCGGCTAGACAGGCGAGTTTCCCATAACTCGCGAGCTTTTTTTCACTCACGAGTTTTGTTTAACCTAGACGAGTTGTAAAAAACTCGCGCATCAAATGGTCCACCACGGGGGGGTACAAATGTCTGTTTCTGGGTTTTAATATGCTGCTGAAGGTGTGACTCGCTGTTTTGGATGTGTTCCACTGTGAACACTAGTGCAGCTGGCGTGGCGGTGAGTAGCTTGGTTGGAAAGTGAAAGGGGGGAGGAGAGGTGGGGCTGGCTGGGTCGTTTGTGGGTGTTGACGCCTGTGGCAGTTTTCTGGGCACCCTACAACTGTTTTCGTGTGGCTGGGGGTTTAGGCTAGGGTAGTGTTTAGAATCGAGTCGAGTTTTACTTGACTCGGATGAGTTTTTTTAGGCTCATCCGAGTTTTAAAAAAAACTCGACTTTGGGGCCGAGTTTCGAGTCAGCATTTTGACAAAAAAAAACTCGACAAGTAAAACTCGACTCGACTCGTCAAAGGAAAAAAAACTCGTCAAAACGAGTCCAGTAAAACTCGACTCGCCATTTGCCCATGTATACCGACCGTTTCTGCATTTCCCTTGGACTGGGCCGAAAGGTCAAGAGGTCAGAACAAGAGGTCAAGCCCGCTTTCCGTTGATGCTTGATTTTAATGGTGATGCTTGCTGGCTGACCTCTCCCTGTTGCGCCCGGCCCATCAGGTGACGGATCAGGAGCTATCTAAGGAGCTGTACAAGAAGCACAGTGCGGTGAGCGGTGTTGTGGCTAGAGGGTGGTGGTGTGGCTAGAGGGTGGTGGTGTGGCTAGAGGGTGGTGGAGAGAGGATGGTGGTGGAGAGAGGATGGTGGTGGTGGAGAGGGGGTGGTGGTAGCACCTACACATGCACCCACACACAAACTGATACACACTTCTTGTTTGTCATCGGAAGGGATACACACACACACACCCTGTGTCATCGAAACCCCTGCCTCCCTCCCCCCTGTGTTGCTTTCCAAGTGTACTTGCAGCAACACTTCTTTAAATTCCATGTCTCTCGCCCTCTGGTTTTCTATTTGTGTTGGTGGTGTCAGATCCACAGGAGGAAGGTTCGGGTGTGGCAGATGCTTGCGCTGCTCTCCCCGTTCATATCGCATGACATGCTGCCGTCTGTCACTGGCCTCTACAGCAGGGCTCTAGAGGTGCGTGCCTGCATCTTCCTGCTCTCACCGGTAAACAGGTGGACTGCAGAGGTGGGCTGCGGAGGTGGGCTGCGGAGGTGGGCTGCACCCCACCTGTTTACCACTGACTGACAGTCACTGGCCTCTACAGCAGGGCTCTAGAGGTGCGTGCCTGCATCTTCCTGTGGAAATTTGTACGTAGAAATTTTAGACTTCTGAATCTCAGATCCAAGACACTTCGAGACGCTCGCAGTGACATCTGTGGGTGTAATCAATGTCCCTCGAAGGCCCTCGCTGCACGGGGGAAATCTTTCATGTCAACTCATAAGCTGACCAATCTTGTTGCCGACCCCTTTCCCCCTCCTCGTCCTCCCTCCCCTCCCCTCCCCTCCCCTCCCCTCCCCTCCCCTCCCCTCCCCTCCCCTCCCCTCCCCTCCCCTCCCCTCCCCTCCCCTCCCCCCCCATCCCTTCCCCTCCCCTCCTGTTTCGCCTGTACCATGCAACGCATCGCAGCACAACAACATGCCGTCAGTGCGGCAGTATGTGGAGATATTCGGTGTCCTCATGTTCCTCCGCTTCCCCCACCTGGTATGCCAGTCTCGCCCTCTCCATTCTTTATTTACAGAGACACACACGCACACCCATACATGCACGCACGCACGCACGCACGCACACACACACACACACACACACACACACACACACACACACACGAAGAAAACTCACAGAAAACACGTATGTTTTCCACCCACTCCCCTCAACAGGTTGAGACACACGTACTGAACCATCTTCAGAACGCCAACCTCAAGACACAGGTACCATACCATACCATACCGTACCGTACCGTACCGTACCGTACCGCACCATACCGTACCATACCATACCATACCATACCATACCATACCATACCATACCATACCATACCATACCATACCATACCATACCATACCATACCATACCATACCATACCATACCATACCATACCATACCATACCATACCATACCATACCATACCATACCATACCATCAGACCATACCATTCCGTCCACCGCTCCTCCCCTCCCACGCACTCACTCGCAACCACTTACTCTCGAAGCGTTCGCCCTTGCCCTCCACTCCCAACCTCTACTCCCAGTCTCTTGGCTCCACGTTTTTTTCTTTATCTGCTGACTTGCCTTCCTCTTTTCTGTTGCTTCCGCTGTCATCGTGCACATGCATCATAGATCCCTGTCTCACTCACCCCACACAAAGCTCTCTACGGCCTTGCACTCACTCTCTCTCGCTCCTCCTCCCCTCCCGTCTTCTTTCCCCCTCACTCCCCCCCTCATGCTCCTCCCAACGCCCCATTCCCCATCACCCCATACAGGCACAAGCATCATACGTGCTTATTGCAGCCTGTCTCATTCTCCACACCAAGGACCCCTCACTACAGCTGCTGCACCTGCACCAGCTGCTGCCTGCCACGCTTCCCTATGTCACCAGTCACCACCACAACTTACGCACCTTTACCCAGGTGCTGCTGCACCGCGTTCTCAGACGCTTTCCACAGCTAACAGGCAGCGACGGCGGCAACGCAGACAGCAGCAGCAGCAGTGGGATGCAGAGTGGTTCAAATGAGGTGCCATCGTCCAGCATTGTCAGCGGCAGTAAGGTGTTTCAAGCCATATGGACATATCTCAACACCAACACGGATTGTGCTCGGTGCGTTGCGGTCACAACCTATTTTTGAAGTTTCAACCTGCCACCTTGTCCCGTTGCACACTCCTCCTTTCACAGCTTGGCAAAGCTGCCTCACATCGGAAAAAAGGTATATAAATACTCCCCACCTGGCAGGCACCTCCCCACCCACCCACGACTTTTGAGGCGCCTCAAAAGTACTCCCCACCTGGCACCTCCCCACCCACCCGCGCCCAAATCAAAAGAGAACGAAAGCAGAGTCGTTTGAGCCTCTGATTCTTTCTGTCTTTCTGGTCCTCCTTCCTATCAAACAGGGTGCGTGTGGCTGTTGATCGCTACTTTGACACCTTCGACCCCGAGGCTGCAGCCACGCCTCGCGGCATGTTCCTGCGCTCCTTCTTTGATACCCGGCAGGCGCAACCCGGGAGGACAGCAGCGGAGGTAAGTAATCGTGGGGTATCTCAAAGAGTCGTTGTCTTGCAAGAGGCTTTTGTATTTAGTTTAGAGGAGGAGAGGAGGTGTATGCAGCCACGCCCCCGGGGCATGCACCTGCTCTCCTTCTTCAATAGCTGGCTGGCAGGCAGCGCACCCAGGGAGAACAGCAGCGGAGGTAAGAGGGTGTGTGGTGTAGGGTTTGGGGTTCGATAAGATATGGTGCTGTGAATGTAGATATGCTAATGAAGTGTTGAGCAGATGTTGTTGATATTCTAGGAGGAGGTTTGTGGATGAAGCAGAAGTGGAGGGTTGAGTACGGGTTTAAGGGTGCGAGTGATGAATTGCTGTAGCTGTAGCACAGGAAGAGATGTATCCCTTGCATCCTGTTGTATCCCATTGTATCCCATAGCACCTGCATCTCGTCAAATGGCATGTCTGTGTCACCTGTGTGCGCGTTCATCAGGTCGCTGGGTCTCATCCCTTCGAGTGTGCACCCACCGCTGTTCTGGACCGCGTCACAAGCTTCCTCAATGTGAGCTGCCAATGTCCTCCATGCATAAACATATAATATTTTCTTACATATATATATTATTATTTTCCCTCTCATAAGGTGTTCTTAGGAAACTTTGATATGAGGTGAGCTGTTCTGGGTGCTACCTGCAGTCTTTTTCCTGTTCATCAGTCTCTTTTGTTTCTTCAGTGTTCTGTTATTCGTTTATTGTGTTCTTCCGCTGCCCCTTTAGTGTTCCGTAGACCTCCATTTCTTTTCAAAATTGCAGCTCTCTTCTTTCCCCTTTTCTTCTATGCTTCTCACCCCCCTTTCTCTATCATCACTTATCTCAATTAGAAAAGCTGCACTCAAATCCTAGTTCTGAAACGTCCCAAATCCAAGCCTCCACCTTCCTGCCAAGCCGTCTCTTTCCGTACGGCACTTACACATGCTCATTCCCTCTCCCACCCTTGTCGCCTCTACCACCCTACACGCTTATCAAATCATTATACCCTCTGTCTGTATGTCACTGCCGCATCCCCATGGGTATTGGGCAGTTCGCCCGGGAGTCACTCCGAGCGGCCATGGCAGCAGACGCAGCAGCGCTTGGGCTTGGAGGGACTGGCGGCGCTGTGGCAGCAGCTGGGGGCGAGGAAGGAGAGACAGGGGTTGAGGAGGGAGGAGGAGACAGAGGAGGAGGAGGTGGCATGGACAATGATGTTGATGTGCAAGGAGGTGCACAGAGTGCAGCAGCAGGAGCAGCAGGGGGGGCAGGAGCGGGAGGGCATGCAGACTTTCAGAGGAAGAAGCGGGTGTTGGATGCAGGGCAGGGAGGGGCGGGATCTCAGCAGCAGCAGCAGCTGCTGCAGCAGCAGAGGCAGGGAGTGGAGCCCCAAGCTGCCCTTCTCCAAGGTGTGGATTTTTCATGCAGCAGAATGATTCCCAAGGTGGGCCTGTAAAAGGCGGCTGCTTTTCTTGCCTACCTACTCGTCCTCGGACCTACCTAATCTTGTACCAACACCCGCACCCACTCCCCCACCCGCACCCTCACTCACACTCTCCCACACCCAACCCACCTCATACTGCCACCCGCACACCACCCACACCACCACCCGCACCACAGCTTTACGCATGCGGTGGGAGTCAGAGCAGCAGCAGGGCGAGGAGGCACAGGAGGAAGCACTGCTGCGAGGCCACGTGGAGGGCAGGGAGGGGCTGCTGCAGGCCGCCACAGGCACTCGCCAGGACATCATCGTTGTCGCGTCTCTCATTGGCCGCATCCCCAACCTCGCTGGGCTTGCTCGGACATGCGAGGTGCGTCCTGACTCGTGTATTTGCTGAGGCGCCACACAGATAGGTTGCTACAGGCGGCCACAGGCACCCAGCAGGACATCATCGTTGTCGCGTCTCTTATCGGCCGCATCCCCAACCTTGCCGGGCTTGCCCGCACATGCGAGGTGTGTGTTCTTGGCTCAGGAGGTGTGTATTTGCCAAGGTGCCTCACAGATAGGTTGCTACAGGTGGCCACAGGCACCCAGCAGGACATCATCGTTGTCGCGTCTCTTATCGGCCGCATCCCCAACCTTGCCGGGCTTGCCCGCACATGCGAGGTGTGTGTTCTTGGCTCAGGAGGTGTGTATTTGCCAAGGTGCCTCACAGATAGGTTGCTGCAAAAGGCCACAGGCACCCACCAGGACAGTCTTGGCGTGGCGTCTCTCATTGGCCGCATCCCCAACCTTTCCGGGCTTGCTCGGACGTCTGAGTGCGCTTCTGAGTCGTGCCGTGCCGTGATGCCATTGTTGTGGAGGCACGCTCACGGGGACGGCATTGTGGTGCGGTGCGAGCGGCTGTAGGGGTCAGAACGCAAGTGTGGTGGAATTGTGGTCATGTACACGGCAGGGACGGCATTGTGGTGTGGACCCTGGCACATCTCGTCGCTGGGCTGATGGCACGGTGGCATTGGCGTGCGTTGGCGTGCATTGGCGTGCGTTGGCGTGCGTTGGCGTGCGTTGGCGTGCGTTGGCGTGCGTTGGCGTGCATTGGCGTGCGTTGGCGTGCGTTGGCGTGCGTTGGCGTGCGTTGGCGTGCGTTGGCGTGCGTTGGCGTGCGTTGGCCTGCGTTGGCGTGCGTTGGCGTGCGTTGGCGTGCGTTGGCGTGCGTTGGCGTGCGTTGGCGTGCGTTGGCGTGCGTTGGCGTGCGTTGGCGTGCGTTGGCGTGCGTTGGCATGCGTTGCTGTGCATTGGCGTGCATTGGCCCAAACCTCACTGGGCCTGCCGGTGTGTGTAACGAGTGTTGCTGATGCAGGCTGTTGAAAGAAAGTCTTGTACAATGGTTTTTTGCAGGCATTTTTTTCTGGAGCAAATAACCCTAGCTGCAAAACCAGCTTTTCTTGTGATTGTTGGAGGAATTCTTGATGTGTGGTAAATTTTAAACCTCTGAGAAACATTGGACAAAATCAGGCTCTCTGTTCCTTCACCATCATCCCTCACCCCATTCCACATGCCCCATTGCTCTCACCCCAATCCCCATGCCCCATGTTCCATGCCCCGCTCCCCACACCTCAACCCCCCTGGCAGGTGTTCAAGGCCAATCGTCTGGTCCTCCAGGACACATCGGTGGTGAATGACAGGCAGTTCCAGCTCATCAGGTGGGTGGGGCCATGCCCCCTGCTGTATCTTGACTTGAATCAACTCAAAAGGTGTACTTGGAGGGTTCTAGGAAGGCCAACCGCCTGGTCCTCCAGGGACCAGGACACGTCACTGGCGAATGACAGGCATTTCCAGCTCATCGGGTAAGTGGGCGTGATGGGTTTAGGCATAACCAGATGAGGCATGATCTGGCAAGGCATGCCTTCTGCTCTGACTGTGTTTGAATGAACCTCTCAAATGTAGTCAAGGCCAGTCGTCTGATTCTCCATGCCAGGTGAGTGGACGTGCCCCCTGCTCAGGTGAGTGGACGTGCCCCCTGCTCTGCCACGTGCCATGCCACATGCACAGCACGCCTTTGAGAGTTCTAAAGAATGTGAGCGCCATGTGCCTTTTGCCTTGTGCTATGCCGATTGCCATGTAATGACCAACCCAACTCCCATGTCCCATCTCGCATCAATTTTTGTCCTCATAATTTGTGTCTTGATGTGTGGTGTCACTAACTTGTTTCGACTCCTCTTGTAAACCTTAACACCTTAACCCCAACTCCCCCCTTTTCCATTTATCGTCCTGTTTCTCTTGCGGTGCAGTGTCACAGCGGAGAAGTGGGTTCCATTAGAAGAGGTCCCAATACAAGCACTGGCAAGCTACTTGGAGCAGCAACGAGCCCAGGGGTACACTCTGGTGGCACTGGAGCAGACAGCAAACAGTGTGCCCATTCATACCTACAACTTCCCTGCAAAAACGGTGAGCAACATGTGCTTATAGAGAACAGTTAGCTGTCCTCTCTTCTAGTCTTGTCTCCATTACAAGTCTTGAACATGGTCCATTATGTTAGTATTAATGCGAAGTGTGCATGTTTTGTGTCTGTTAGGTGCTTCTACTTGGGCGGGAGAAAGAGGGCGTGCCAGCTGATCTCATCCGGCTCTTGGATGTCTGTGTGGAGATCCCTCAACTCGGTCTCATTCGTTCACTCAACGTCCACGTCAGTGCTGCAATTGCAACATGGGAGTACACCAGACGTCATTTACCCTAATTTCTCCAAGGTTGTGCTCCTAGGACTAAGCAACTTGGTGGCCTATGCTTTTGATTTGGGTGTTTACTTGAGGATGTGGGGAACGCATTCCCGCTTCTGATTGACATTGCAAGCTGTTTTCTATATGTTTAGAGGCTTTTCTAGATGGGCGGGGTGTACAACAAAATGAATCAACATGTTTTTAAAGCACTATAAACATCCACAGTAGTAACTGGAATGAATCAACACTTTTGACTGCACATTGCTGGGCACCTTTGTAAATGTAACCAGGTTCGCATGCCGCTGTCGCACACGTCGCTTGGCTGTCGGCTGGGTTGTGGAGGCTCCTTGAAGGTGCGGCCTCGTATCCACGTCGAAATCAGCTTCCCAACCAACCATGTGCTATCACGTGGCAATGTTCGGCTGGGGCTTGCGTGTGCTTGGCGAATTTGAGGAAGTCGAAAGGAAACGGAGTTGCAGGTCGCAGTTGCACGCTCACTGTTCGAAGTGGTGAGTCGCGGTTAAAGGTGGTGAATTGCACAAAGCGCTCTTATGTAACATCGGTTTTGTTTCGAAATTAGACAAGGATTTCTGTAAAATCTCAAAATCAGAGTTGTCAAGCTTGGTGTGACCCTCACTGTGCGATATCTCGAATGGCGTCGAATTCCGCATCGTCGTCGTTTTCCCGCTCACCGCGCCGTTTTCTCGCTCCATGGATTTATGGCGAAGAGATCCGTTGGAAATCAGCATGGTTGATCGTAGGGGTGCTGCTGCTCCTCCTGAATTTCGCATCCCCCGCGTTCGCGTATGACTATCAGCAGCACCAGCAGCATCAATACGGACAGCAGCAGCAGTATTATCAGCAGCAGCAGCAGGGTGCGGGTGGGTACAGAGCGGTGCTGTTGGAGGACGTGAAGGCGCTTACGTTGCGGAAGGGAGCGATGACGACAGCGCGTCGTGTGGCTCCTGTGCCTCAGCTTAGCTGTCTCTCCGGATGCGATTTCCAACCAGGTAGGCTCAAAATTCTCTTGAGTGTAATTCTTTCTGATTTTGTTTCAACCGTCACAGCAACCTTCGGTGTCAGTGACGGTTTCTTCTTCCTTTTTTCCGCCAAATTCTCTTGAACCCACCCCTTCGCTCTCCTTTCCCCCCTCCAAGCCCTCCCCCTTCTGCTCTCCTCTTCCCCCCCCCCCCCCCCCGGAACCACCCCCCGCGCGCTGCAGACGTGGTGCAGTGTGTGAACGTGGGGTCGGACGGAGTGGCGGTGCAGTGGCGCTGTGAGGCGGAGCTTCCATCGCACCTACAATTCGGCCTCACCCAGGTCTCCTGCGAGGTATGCCTGCCCCTCCATCCCCCTCCGACCCCCTCCGCCCTCCTAGCGCAACTCGTGCAATACCGCTCCGCTGTGAGGCGGAGCTTCCATCGCACCTACAATTCGGTCTCACGCAAGTCTCCTGCGAGGTATTGCCCTCCGCCCTACTCCCGTCCACCCACCCACCCTCCCACTTGGCTTTCACTAGGTTTCCACTCGTTCCCTTCGTCTCTTCTCGTTGCATTTTCTCACTCTTGGTTCGGTCTGAATGTGTCTTGAAAGAGCCGTGTGATAGTGGTGGGAAAAGACTGCTGAGTTGAGATGTAAGGGAGACAGCAACTCTGGTGTATGTAAGGGAATGCCACAAGAGTAGAAGCAGCTTTATCCTTTCTCATGTAGTGACAGCTAAGCTGAAAGGTTTCCCGTCCTGTCATTTTCCTAACATTCCAGCTGCACGCCTCTGCTGCCTACGCAATTGGCTCTGCTCCTTCCCATGCCTGGGCTCCATCCCTCCCCCTTTCTCCGCATCCATCTGTTTCCCTTACCTTTCTCTAGCTCTCCTCTAAACACCCCCACCCACCCACCCACCCACCCACCCACCCCTTCCCTCTCTTCCTCCCTTCTCCTCCTTCATTTTCCCTTCTTAACCCCGCATCCCCCAGGGCTTTGATTACCCGGACGATCCTCGCATCCTCTATGACAGCTGTGGCCGGCAGATTTTTGCGATGGTCTCAAAATCCCTCCCCCATTTCGCCCTTTCCCTTTGTCCCCCGCTCCTTTTTTCCTCCCTCCCAACCCCGCATCCCCCAGGGCTTTGATTACCCGGACGATCCTCGCATCCTCTATGGCAGCTGTGGCCTGCAGTACTCCCTTGTGCCTGTGCCAGGTACCCACAATTCAATCCAAGCCATAAAATACTCCAAAGCAGTCAAACATACTCAAACCTTCTTCACCTCAAGCTTTGTGTCTCAGATAACACATTGCCCGTTCTTGAATTCTCCTGCTCTTTATCACCACCGTTTCAATGTTCCTTCGCTGTATGTCTCTGTATACAATTGGGTCATCTGCATGTTTTGCCAAGAAAGTGGTGCCTTTTTACCTTCTCTTTGAGTCCACATCGTCCCTGCTTATCCTTTGCGTCCGTTCTGTAAACCCCCACCATGCGTCACTCCTTCCAGGATCTCAGAAGAAGGAGAAGAAAAAGGGGTGGTTCAAGGTAATTCCTCGCAATCCTTTGAATAGCTGTATCTTCAACTGTATCTTAAGAAATTCCCTACTTACGTCTCCGCCAGTTCCCAGCTCTCTACCACAAGAGAACACTGCTTTTATTCCCCTTTCTCTAACCCTGTGGTTTTTTCTGTTCCCTCTTGCTGCTTGACTCCTTACGATGTACAATCTCCTCATTCCCCCCCCCCCCCTCCGTCTACAGCAGCAAAAGAAGCAGCATTTTCACCAGCAGCACCAGCAGCAACCAGAGCGTGAGGAGGGGTCATGGCTGGGTCGACTGCTGACATGGGCAATCATCACCTACATCGCCATTCTCGCGCTGCGCTCCTGCTGCTGCGGCACCTCACGCCCATTCGGTAAGACGCCATTTCTCACCACCTAGCCCGCCTTCCCGAGACTGCATCGCTCTCCTGTTAATGAGAGCTGTTAATGAGCTCCCCTGTCACTGCATCGCTCTTGCTCGCCTCGTTCATCTCACCCCACATGAGCTCGCTCTCCCACGTGTGTCCACATGAGCAGGTGGAGGGCCGGCAACGGGCCAAGCAGGAGGGTACTACCCACCTCCTCCTCCGTCTCCCCCTCCTCCTCCCCCCCCCGGATCCGACGATTTCTGGGGAGGCCCGAAAGGTTCCGCAGGGTGAGTTGCTAAACTGGGTGGGCGGGGTCTGTATTGAGACCCCAGCGCGAGAGCTCAGTCTCACAGCTCAAGTTGGTAGATTGGCTGGGTGCGCTGGAATTGTTACCGTGTTTGGTAGGCTTTGTATGTGGGTTTCCTTCTGCTGATCTTTATGCAGCATCCCAACTTTCCCCCCTCTCCTTTCCTCTCATAACACTCCTCTCTGGTTCCTTTCTCTCTCAATTTTCTGTATATGCTCCTCTCCTGTTCTTACAACGACCTCTTGTTTCTTTCCTTTCTCAACTTGCTCCTCATTTCGTCCTCCCACTGTCCTCCCTCCCCACCCAACCCCGCCCCCCTGCCTCCACCCTGTGTCAGCTTTGGTGCAACGGCCCCCCCACCCCCTCAGCCAGTGCCCACATGGGCCTCGGCAGCCACAGGCTTTGGTCTGGGTTACCTGTTCGGCCGCAGGAGACCCACAGCTCCTCCCCATCAGCAGTACCAGCAGCGTGGTTATGAGGGCCCAAGGGCTCCTAATCCTTGGCCCAGGACTGACAGTGCAGGGAGCAGTGGGAGTGGCCGCAGGGGGGATGATGACACGCATACTGCCACTGCGTATGCGTCCACCAGCAGGAGGTGAAGAGGCGAGGGATGATGCAGTGGGGATAGTAGATTGCCATGTTTGACCGGAGCTGATTGTCGGCGGATTTGTTGTGTGCTTGATTTGTAGTACGAAGTGATGTGAAGGCCCTTCCTCGTTCTTGTTAAGTAACATAAAGCAACAAAATGTGTTCAACAAGTAGCATCAATTCGAACATGTGGCAGAGGATGGTGAGTAACCATAGTATTAAATCAAATATACGTTTCATATTGTACAGAAACCATAGAAATGAACAAGCTAATATGCCAACCCAATGGTAAAAGCCTGCCTTTCCATTCGCGCGGATTGACGCGTTGAATCACGTCGCACATTTTCAACTCTCGGTACGAACGAGCCTTCCCAAATGGTCTGGTTGACTCGAAGCTCTGCGATTACCCAATGAAACCACGGCTTTGTAGGTTTCCAAACCTGAAGCCCAAGCTTTTCGCGGCTTAGGGCGTGTCTGAAGTGCAAACGTCGAGTTTCGTCAAATTTCGTCGACGAAACTCATCCGTGGGACCCACGCGTGTTGGTGTCTGAAGTGCAGCCTGACATCCCTCGACGAAACTCGACGTTCGTGCACATGTCGAGGGATGTCGAACAGTGATACCGGGCAGCTGTTTGAGTCACTGTAGTCAGTGAGTGTTTCAAAAACAATTCTTCGACACGCCATGTCTGCATAGCTGTGGCAAACACACGTGAATAAGAACTAAGACGAGAGCGACACGTGCTAGAGAAATTTCGCTGGCAATGTGACAGTAGAATATCCGGTGTTACCAGCAACAATCTATGCTAAGCGAAATTCGCGAGATTGCAAACAATTGAGTTACATGAATGATTCTGTTAATTCCACGTCGAATTTTCATGGGCAACTTATAACAGTGTTCCTATGGCACGTGTGGGTTATTTTGTCGTGTGGGTGTCTGAAGTGAACACAGCTGAAAACGGATGTCGAGTTTTGTCAAGGAACGTCGACGAAAGTTTCGTCGGCAAACGTCGAAATTCACTTCAGACACGCCCTTAGACTCGCGTCTCGCGTGTTCCACTAAAATCTAACGCCTGAGTTTGACTCGCCTCGCCTTGCCTATAAAAGTAACCAGCTCTCCTGGCATATCGGTCGCTCACCCACAACCTTCCGTTTCGTCCTACACGTTCTTCTTCACCCAAGCTCCAGGCCGCAAACCAGAGCAGCGAGAACAGCAGGAAACCATCTCCCGACACTTCGTCGATCGCAGCACGACATCAGCCATGGCATTTAGAGCACTCTTCCTCGCGTGCATCCTCCTCCTTGTGTCGGCATCCGCCTTGGCGCAGCGTGGTCCGCCTGGCGGAGGTCCTCCCGGCGGTCAGGGACGTGGGGGCGCGCGCGGAGGCCCTGGCGCCGGTTCCGGCGGTCCCAGCAGTCCTGGAGGGCCTGGTGGGAAGCCGCCGCACGGGTCTCCGCTGAACCTGACGGCCGTCGGGAATCTGACGGCCGATGTTGGCGCGCAATTGGCCAACTGCTCCGCGGATCAGACGATCGTTGACGGCCGCTTCCACCTCGCCATCTTCAAGTAGGCTCCGGTGCTTTATTTTCTGTCGCATTTCACGCGAGGAAACCCTACATTCCCTGTGCGCTTCCCTCATCCGTTCTCAGTCGCTAGTCGGCGGAGTTAGTATAGTAGGATTGGCTTCCGCACGAACCCCTCCACTTGACTTCCTAGATCAAAATGTGCGGCACTCGGCATCTTCTGATCCTCGAGCTCATTGCGTCTTGCTCCCTCCCCTCCCCTCCCCACTTTTCCTCCCCTCTCCACTTCCCCTCCCCTTCGTCACTGCGCCCTCTCCAGAAACGCCACCGGCAATTACAACCTCCTCGTCCAGTCGCTCCTGGTCGACGCGGCGGGCAGTCCGCCCGACTCGCTCGCGATCGTGAAGGGCGCCGTGTGCGACGCCGCCGCGACGGACGTCCTCGCGCTGCCGCTCGCCGCGGCGGACTGGCAGCAGCGCGCGGGGTGGTGGCTGCTGCACGCGGAGGCGCGCCTCGACGCGTTCCTCGAGAACGCGGACGCCGCCACTCTCGACGCGCTGCTCGCGGTGCTCCCCAACGCCTCGCTTCCGCGCACGAGTGGCGGCGGGCGCAACGGCGGAGGCAGCGCGGGGGGCGCGCGGAGCGGACAGGGTGGGAGGCGCATGGGGCGGGAGCTGCTGATGCGCGCAGTGGGCCGCGCTGCTAGGCAGGGGGGACAGAATCAGGGGGGAAAGCAGCAAGGGGGAGCGCAGCAGCCGCCCGCAGGTGGATTTTCAGGTGGTGATGGCGGAGTGAACAGCACAGTGAGCGGGTATGCTGTGCTGGCGGGCAGCAGCGCAGCAGGTGTGACGTGGGGCGGACAGCTCATGGGGGCCAAAATGCCCGCTGCTGCTGTTTAATGCTTAACTGCCGTCCTGCTCCGCCTGCTGCTGTTGCTGCTATGTGATATGGCGATGGCTGACAGGGTTTGGGGATTCGAACAGAGCCTGCTGCAGGCAGAACTTGCTGCTGCTTGATTCATCACTGCTTTGAGGATAACCTGTGGCGTCAGCTTGGTGTTTCCACGGTGAACACGCACATGCAAGGTGTTGCTGTTGCAGCTGGGGGTTGCTGCAGGCATGGTTGTGAGGGGCTTGTGGGCCTCTCAGCCATGTGAGTAGCTAAAATAGGTCAAATTAGAGCATCTGGTGCAGGAATGCTGGCAAGGCAAGGCATCCGGGGACACCACCAGCTGACTTGCCAGTCTTCCTACCCCTGATTTTCCATGTCAAGTCGTGAGAAATGTGTTCTATGCGTGTTTGTTTGGAGTCAATTTTATGTTTTCTTTGAGTCTTTGTCACTAGCAGCTCACCAATGTGTATCTGAGTGGTGTGTTGTACTAGGTACCAATGGTTAACCTGTATGCTGTTCACCAGGTACCATTGCTGTCAGCACTATGTGACAACGTACACAATATGAATTCAGGTGATCTGACAAATCCAAGAATGAGAACGGCAAGTATACTAAGCGGTTCACATCACACCGAGAACCCGAACAATAAACTAAGGTCAATTTCCAAAGTTATATGTTCCAATCAGCCAGCGGATTGAGTCGATGCACTGTACTGTATGTTGCATCGAAAGCTGATGCTTACTGCCCTCTGCTTCTAGCGAACTCAAGCCACTGCAACAGAGAGAAACAGCGAGCGGACACACAGGGAGGGCAGTTAGGGAGAGGGAGACGACAGACACAAAGGGATGGGAATCAGGGATAAGGAGCCGGTGGTACAGCATATAGAGAGGCAAAGTATCAATCTCGAGATCAGTGTCCAACCAAACAGTACATCAATCTATGCCATCCCTATCACTGATAAAGTCACCTCTTCAGCCCCATGCCAGCATTCCCCATGCCAGCATTCCCCATGCCAGCATTCCCCATGCCAGCATTCCCCATGCCAGCATTCCCCATGCCAGCATTCCCCATGCCACGTACCTGTCTAAGCAGGCCTGCCAGCGTGCGAGGGAGCGCGTGGATGTCCCTCAGAAGGATGTAGTAGGGGAAGGGGAACGAGTCCAGGTAGCTTGAGAAGGCTGGCACCCCGTCTGAGAATGACACGGACTGCAGGAGGGGTGCAGGAGAGGGCAGGGAGAAACGGGGTATGGCTTGTACGAATCTCAAAGTCAGTTCAGGTAGGTTGAGAGAAGGCTGGGACCCCGCCTGAGAATGACACAGACTGCAGGAGGGGTGCAAGAGAGGGCAGGGAGGAATGGGGCCAAGACAGGGGATAGAAGGGTTGAGGAAACGGAGGGAGAGTGTGTTGCTGTAGCGGTTGGTACCTGAGCAGACTTCAGCTGTTGGTTGGAGCCAAGACATGGGATAAAAGGGTTGATGGTACCGAGAGTTCATTGTGTATGGGAGTAGCAGACGATGCAGGCTTTCTCGGAGGAAAAAAAGGAGAAAAACGTAGGGCATTCTTGGTTGTCGGGTTTTGGGTTTTGGGCGGTTGCAGGTGATTGAGATTTTGTGAGAGTGCATAAGAGTGCGCATACCTGCATGTCAAGGATGGATTCAGAAGGGCTGTCGAGCAGAATGAAGGCCAGCAGCTGCCCCTTGCCCATGGCGTGCCGCACTGTGCGCCTTAGGGTCTCCTGGCAAAGTGGACGCATGGGGGGGTGTGGGTGTGGTGAAGGCAGGGAGAGAGCGTTAGGGCAAGAATGTGTGTGTTGGGGAAGCGATGAGGTTGTGGGGGACGTGGGGGATGGTAAGACATAGGGGGCCGAGGGGGACGGAAAGGGGTGTGGTTGCGCCACGCTGTATGCCATGCCGTGTCACACCATACCTTCTCATGAAACCGTCCATCCGCCACAATCAGCACCAGCTGCTCCAGATGCCCGCCTCCTCCCGTGCCCGCACTCGCAGAGTATCTCATCGCAGCAGAATCCAGCGCCCCAGACAGAAACCGCAGCAGCTCCACCATTGGCTCATCCGCAATCGTGTTGTCCTGCTTGAACGAGAATTGCGAGATGACTTGCACGGCTGCTTCGGGGGAGAACGGCCGGTCCAATTCATGCAGCATGCGCACGTTGCCCGGCTCGCCGAAAGCAACGACCCCGATCTCCCCAACCTCGATCGTCGACATGGCTCGGCAAATCGTGGCCATTGCTTCGAGCGCTAGATGCCCGCACCGTGCCTCCGACATGCTTCTCGAGTCATCAATAGCTAGAACCACCTGGTATTTGCGCTTATCCGGGCGGGTTCTCCTCAGCCAGATCTTATCCCGCTTGAACCCGCTTGCAATGTACGGAATCACCTTCTTCATGTTGATTCTCTTCCCCGACCGGTAGTCTCCTTGCAGTTTGGTCGCCATGGAAGGTTCTAGAATGAGCCGCAGCTGCTCTGCTAGCTCCTGAGAGGCGCCGCTGCACAGCAGCTCGTATTTCCGCCACGCGTCGCGAGCCGCTTCGAGCTTCTGCCGGCCCTCCTCGCTCTCCCGCATCCGCTGCATCTGCGCTTCTACCTCGGCTCGCATGCGCTCTAGTTCGATCTCAGTCCACACCTTTTCCCTCGCGCCGCCAGCAGCGTCCGCGCCCTCTCCTGCTCCGTCCTCTTCGGCCTCTCCCTCTTCCTTCTCCCCGTCCGCCTCTCGCAAGCGCGCCGTTTCCTTGGCCTCCTCTTTCCATCTCATGGATACGAAGCTCGAATCCATGGCTCCAGATGCATCCCCATCCACCTCCATCTCTTCACCTTCCTCCAATTCCTCCTCGTCCTCCTCCTCACCCTCCTCCTTCGCCCCTTCTGCCTCCTCCCCCTCCCCATCCTCCTCCTCTGCTGCATCTTTCATTAACTTCTGCTTGTTCTTCCCTCCTTGACCCCCCCCAGTAACTGTCTCTAATTCCTTCCCTTCCTCCTCACCCTCCTCTTCCTTCTTCTCCGCTTCCTCCTCGTCGTCCCCCACCTGTGTTTCTGCACCTTCCTCCTCCCCTTCATCCACCATCTTCCCTTTCATCTCTTTCATCTGCTCTTCCGTCGCTGCTCCTGCAGCCTGCCCTGTCCCCTCCTCCTCACCCTTCACATACTCATACTCCTCTCCCTCCGCATCCTTATCCTTCTCACTCTCTCCCTCTACCTCCTTCTCCTCCTCCTCTTCCTCCTCCTCCTCCATATCTCCTGCAATACTCACCTTCTTTTTCCAAGCCTCCAAAGCACTCCCCAAGCTTCTCATCGGATTCACCTCTTCCTTCTCCTTCTTCCTCTTCTCCTTCTTCCCTCCCTCCTCCCCCTTCCTCCTCTCCTTCCCACCCTCCATACTCCTCTCACTCTTCTTCCTCTCCTCCTCTTCCTTCTCCTCCTCCTTCCCTTGCCCCTTGGTCTCCTTCTCCTCTTCCATCCCCATCACATCAACAGACGCCGTCCCTGCAGCCCTCACCCCTGCCACTTGCTCATTCCCATCCTGTTGCTGATCTCTAGCCGATTTCGTCCCCTTGATATCTTTCTCCTCCTCCATCTGCTCCTCTGCTACTGCTGCCTCTGCCCCCGTACCCATGTTCTCAGGCTCTTTCTCCTCCCCCTCCTCCGCTCCCTCCTCCTCACCTCCCTCCCCATCCTCATCCTTCACCTCCCCTTCTTCTCCCTCCTCCTCACCCTCCTCCCCTTCCTCCTTCTCCACATCAGCATCCCTCTCCTTCTCCTCATCTCCCTCCCCTTCTCCCTCACCCTTCTCCTCCCCATCCTCCTGCCCCTCCTCATCCCCACCACCAGCAGCGTCAGCAGCAGCACCGCCAGCACCATCATTCGCCCCATCCATTTCATCCCACTCATCATCCTTCACCTCTCCCTCCTCTTCCTCCTCCTCCTCTTCTTGCGGCCTCCCATGTGAACCCATAGCCTCCTTAGCTTCTTCCACCTCGGCCTCCCCCTCCTCCTCCTCCCCTCCCTCCTCCTTCCCACCCTGCTCTCCTTCATCTATCTCCATATCATCAGGAAGGTCCAACTCTGGAACTTCCTCTTCCTTTCTCGGTGTAATTCCGTGAGATTCCTCCATCTCCTCCCCTTCCTCCTCCCCTTCTCCTTGCCACTCATTCACCTCACCCTCCTCCTCTCCCCCTTCCTCCTCCGCCCCCTCTCCCTCCTCCTCCCCTTGCTTCTTCCCCTTCTCGTCCTTCTTCGCCTGCTGATCCTCCTTCCCCTTCTCCTCTTTCTCCTCCTTTGCACCATCCTTCTCCCCACCCTCCTTATCATCCTCCCCGCCCTCCCCTCCCTCCTCATCCTCCTCCTCATCCTTCCCCCTATACTCCAAATCCTCCTCCCGCGCCCCCGAAATCGTAGAGTCCTTCTCAAACTTCTCCTTCTCCCTCTTCCCCTCCTCCTCCTCCTCCTCCTCCTCATCCCCCTTCCAAATCTTCTCATCGACCACATCAGCATTATCCCCAACATCTCCCATCTCCTCATCCAGTTGCTGTTCCTCCTCTCCCTCCTCTTCCTTCTCCTGATCCTCCTCCTCATCCTCGCTTATATCATGCATATCCCCATCGAAGTCTTGCTGCATTTCTATTCCCTTGGGTAGCTTGTCGTCCTTGCCCTTCTCCCCTTCCTCCTGCTCATATTTGTAGGAGGCAAGCGCGTAGTGAGAAAAGTGGAAGGGAGGTGTGAAAATGCGGAGAGAAGCGGGAATGCAGAGAGAAGTGAGAATGCAGAGAATGCTGTGAGATATACCTGCCCGACGTGTTTTAAGCCAGCTTAAAACAGGCCCTTAAGAAAAACGTCTAACATACACACCTGCATCCTTCCACTTCTGGAAACATCTCAAAACATACACACCTGCATCCTTCCACTTCTGAAAACATCTCAAAACATACACACCTGCATCCCCCCACTTCTCGTCCTCTGTCGGAGTTTTATTAGAATTCCCTCAAATACCTCTGGAAACGTCTCACAAAACCCCCAGCAGAAGCACACACACACACACACGTACCTGCTTCTCGTCCTGCGTGCCCATCAGCTGGTTCTCGTCCTCGATCTCATCGCTCACGTCCGTCTTGCCCTGCCCCTCGCCCATGCCCGTGCCCTCCTCCTCCTCAAACTTCCCCGCGCCCTTGCCCGCCTCCTCCTCCTGAGCATCCTTTGGCGTGCAGAAGCCCTCCACGAAGAGCGCTGTGAAGAGATTCGCCAGCACGTGGGTGAGCTTGGCCACCTGGAGAGAGGAAAACAGAAAGGGAGGGGGGAAAGGAGGAGAGTACGTGAGTGCTTGGGCGTGCAGAAACCCTCAACAAAGAGAGCGATGAAGAGATTTGCCAGCACGTGGGTGAGCTTGGCCACCTGGGGAGGGGGAGATAAAGGGGAGGGGTGAAAGAAGCAGAATACATGAGTTCTGTGCTTGGGCGTGCAGAAGAGCTTGCGAGGAAGAGAGAGCGGTGAAGAGGTTTGCCAGCACGTGGGTGAGCTTGATCACCTGAGGGAGAGGAATGGGGAGAGGGGTAAGGAGCAGAGCACGATGTCTTTTGGGCATCCACACGGCGAGCTCCAAGCATTGCAATGATCGGCAGAGTGCGTTGAGACAGACTGGGTTGATCAGTGGAGACGAATGACATGTGGCGAGAGTGCGATTTTTGAAACGAGTGGCCCTATTGAGAAGCCTGTTTGGAATAACCGAGAAGCGAGGCTTACAGCTTTGTGCAGCGAGAGGAAGCTTCCTAGCAGGTGGAGCGACGCAGTGACCACTAGATCCAACATGACATGCAGCTGAGCAAGTCGCTGCGTGACTGCTGCCGCCGCTGCTGCTGCTTCTGATGCTGCTGAACTGGAACTGGCCTTACTGTTTGCATCAGCCACAGCGCTCTGCAAGAGTGAGAAAATACAGTGACAGCACAGTTAGGTGTTGCACAAGAGGCAGCAAAAGGCAGCGCAGCCAGTGCAACTGAAAGCGAGCGATTAACTGCCTTGTCAGCTGGAAAAAAGAAGGCGACAATTGGTTAGCCAGAAAAGCAGAACAGACACATACATAAAGACAGAAGAAGAAAGAGACAAAAGACCCAATACAGCCTTTCTTCTGGGCTAAAGACACCATTCATTGGGACTTGTGAACGTACAGCAGCATCACCACGGCATCGACAGCAGAATCAAAAGAAAAGAAAACACAAAAAACGGACAAGACGAAAACATAATCCACTGGACTCGTGAACGTACAGCAGCAAGCACCACAGCATCGACCGCTGCCACCATGTGGGGTAGCCGCAGCACCAGCAGCCGCCGCTCCGCCTCCTTGCTCCACCCCACAATACTCCCCTCCACCCCTTCCAACTCCCCACCACCATCCTCAACCAATCCTACACCCTCCTTTCCTTCCTCCACCACCAACTCTTCCTCTCCCTCTCGCCCTTCCTCCCCTGCCCCCGCCTCTTTTTCCTCTCCTTTCCCCTCTGCATCTCTTGCTGCAAGGGCCTGAGCGCTCTGTTTTGCAGAGCGAGAGAGGGACTGCACCCCCAGAAGCACCTGGGTCAGTGCTGTGTCATATGCAGAGTGGAAGGCAGTCAACCTGGCTGCAAACTCCGGAGTTAGATCGGCAGTGTGGGAAGGAGCAATGGTGCTGTCGGCTTGAGTGGGAGATGCTTCGGTGGGAAGCGGTGTGGAGTGGTTTCCTGGTGTTGAGTGTTCTTCTGGTTGCGCTGACACAGTGGTAGTCATAGTGGAGAAGGGGCCGAGAATCTTCTTGCATTGAAGTGCCACACCATTTGCCTGGTTGGGAGTAAGGAATAGCATGGGAGATGCAGAGTGAAGGGCGGTTGGGGGAGGCTTTTATCTGCTGTTGCAAAACCAGCAGCACAGATCCACATGCGTGAAGAGCTGACTTTTGAGTCGACTCAAAGTCCACATGCGTGAAGAGAATGCGCACGTGTAAATATACGAGGCGAAGAAACGAGACAGACGTGTACATTGCGTGCAACTGTGATAAGAGCCCAGTGCCTGCCCTGCCCACCATAGCAGGCAATACAGACTTCAGACTCCTTTCCCTCATACCTTGATAAAGGCCTCCCGCAGAACCCTCCATCCAGGCACCCATCGCGTGAGGGAATCCGCACCAGCAGCACCATCATCCGCTTCTGCTCCAGCACCCTCAGCACCCTCACTGCCCTCACCACCAGCAGCAGCATCAGCATCGGCAGCATCAGCAGAAGCAGGGGCGGGAGCAGGTAGACTCCATTCCAGAGACTGCTGCAAGTGCTGGTAGATTTGTTTGAGGCGAGAAAAGTTGGAGAGAAGGACGTGGGGGGCGGTGGGCGGGAGGAGAGTGGGAGGCGAGGAGGCAAGGAGGCCGGGCGTGCTCGTGGTGGGTGCGGGCTGTAGGAGGAGGAGAGACGCCTGGACTCTAGTTAGATCTTCTATGCCACGTGTCACAGCTGTGGCTGCTGAGGCTGCTGACGGAGCACCAGGTGGCAGCTCGTGCCACGTGGCAGCGGCAGAGGCGACCAGCTGGCGGAGGTCGCCGAGGGACGCCAGTAGAGAGGAGACGAGTTGCTGTGTGGTTGGGGGCAAGGGAGTGCGGGGAAGGAAGGGAAGAAGGGGGACAGGAGTTGCAGGAGAGGGAAAATTTGGTGGGTTGTTGAGCAGGTGCTGAGGGGTTCAGATGGAAAACGTCGAACTTGTGAATTAAGGTGCTTCTAACTTGGACCAAAAATGATACGGGATGGAGAGGGGGGAGCAGGGCCGATGAAGAGCCGAGGGAGCAGGGCCGAGGGAGAGGGAGAAAAGGAACAAATGGACCGATGAAGCAACACATGTCTTTGCATCCTGACTTGAATCCGACCTGAGATTCGGCATGGAGACATGCACAAGAATCTGTACCTGCTGGTTCGTGAGCCAAAAGGCCACTAGCGACTGTGGGGGAAGGGGGCTCCAACTGCTGCTGGTGCCGGCGTTAGCGCCGGGAGCTGCTGTATGGTTAACACACATACGTACGCACACAGGGAGAAGGAGACGAGAATGATCAAATTAGGGTTTCCATCCATGTCCAATTCACATCAATCTTTTTCCGTCGCTGTGCCTTTTGCAGGGGGCAGCAGAAGCCCCAGGCAGCAGGATGTCACGACAGCGATGCCTTTTTCCGTCGATGTGCCCCAGGCAGCAGGATGTGTGCCTTCAAGACTCATTCAACACATCCTCGGCGTCGCTGTCTTGAACGGCCCATCAGTCAATTCAATGCGAATGAAGGAGCCTTGTAACATCCTTCATTTGCACTTGCAAGGCGGTCCAACTGTGCGCAAGGTCAACAAGACGGGGTCAAGACTCAAGACGAGCACCCAATCTAACGGCTCTCTCTACGAGCCTGCAACAACTTTCTCAAGGCCCGCCACATTTCAACCCACAAAGCCTTCTATAAAGCTGTGCACATCGGGCTTCAACCAATCATTAAACGATTAAAGCGGAGTGCAGGTCGGTGGACCGTGGACGCACCGAGAGCAGCGAAGGTGGAGGCAGCGGAAGCAAGGTGAGTGATGCTCAAGGCTGCTGTCTGCGCTGTGCCCCGCTGGGAGGTCTGCACGAAGAGCAGATGCTCCAACATGCGCGTTGCTATCGTCACCTGCTCATGCGCGTGGAAGAGGAATGAGGGGATGAGGGGGCAGATGTG